CAATAGGAAAAATGCAAAATTGCGGCCAGTGCTTCACAAGCGACGAAAGGGGGCTCAACGTTTAGAATAATGGAGGCTACTTTATACTACGGGAAGTGCTGAGCACCGATGACGAAGACATTCGTCTCGCTCCGTCCAACGCGTTAAAAGTCTACAAGATGTTCTCAGAGAGCCGGCAGGCTTCCAGTCTGCCACGCTAAAGCTACAAATGACACACCAACGCTTCTTGATGTGCGCGACATTTTCGACGCACTCATCGAGAAGCACCCTGACGTCGCCAAGTATCTTGCAGCAGATGCGACAATCGTGAAGGGCCCCGACTTTGAAGAATCCTGCGTGCTGGCGGTGGCAGGACGGGCTGGAGATTTGACCGACGACCAAGAGCTGATGTTGTATCCCTTCGAGACGACCCCGGCCACCGGCGCTCATCTCCAAGAGGCGGCCGCAGCCAGCACATATGGACAAGGTTTCGCCGGCCAAGTCCTGTCTGCGCACAAGAAGCAGCGCACGGCGCGGAAGCAGCTTGCCGGAATGAAGTACATTCCATTCACGTCTAATACACTAGAGCTGCTATTGATCGATGCTATGCACATGCTGTCAAATCACCGACATCGTTTATTGCCCATGCACCTCGAGACTATGCAGTTTCTAAAGCTCAACTGGGGTTTTTGGAGCGCGACTACTGCTGCCAAGGTAAGTCACAAGCAGTGAGAGCTGCCACTGGGCAGTTCTGCTTAGAGGTATTTGAAAGACTTGCTTGGGTCACCATAAATCATGTTGCTCGTCGCATGTTTTCGATAATAGAGCGCTTAAGCTGATCGATACGAAACAAAAATCTAAGAAAAATCTGATGCTTTCTTTGGCTTTTTTTGTGCTTTTTTTGGAACTCTCGTTTCGTAGGACGCTAACTTTCGCTCTCTATTTGCGCAACGAACGGAATTTGAGCGACACCACGATCTATGGCAACTCCTCCTGCCCTAACTGAATCGACGCCGAGGCCTCGTCGATGAGTAGGTCGCCGAAGGAGATGTCGCTCTCGGCGCCGTCCGCCATCGTCTACGCTGGAGGAGGGGGGGGGGGTATTCGTTTCATCTCTGATGTGCTTACAGACAATAGGACATTTTATACCAATATTTGAGACGTCTTTTTTGTCGTTTTTTAAGGGCGGATGCTACAGTCCATGATTTGTAAAAGGGTTAGGCATAAAATCATGGATAGTGTACATGTACTAGCGCTCTGGGCGGCCCCTCCGCGGACGCTAGGGCATGGTTGGTTGGTGTAGAGAGGGCCGACCACATCCGCTGCGCTGCGATGGGCTTAGAATTGCTACTCAAAGCGAAGCAACATATAGTGAGCTACATATATTACGGTTCAAAACAACACCGCACACAGTATCCTTAGTGCTCACATGTTATGGTAGACACGACCAGGGTTTAACGTGATCTGCAAGAAGAGCACCATCTTACCCGGGAAGGTTTTGTCTATAATCTCGTTTGAGCGCATTGCTCCCAAAATGACACCAATCGGAGGCGCGCGTGGTTGCAAAGCTAATATATGCTGTACGGAAGACGGGTCAGTATCAATGATGCTACGAAATATGCGTAGATGGGTGAGGAATCCCAGTGTAGCTGGCGTAAATACGCCTATTCACACATATTAGCCATCTGCACGTCATCGCCGTGAGGCAGTCGACACATATCATCGATTGCGACGGTCGAATAGAGCAATGTTAATCAGCTCCGCGCGCGAAGTATCTTTTAGGATAGGTAATATTTGCCGATGGTCGCCACAAACATCAATATTATGCTTTGAAGTTATTCTGCTGAGCTGTTTGTGATGTTACTGAAGTATATTTCCACTGTATTCCCGCATGCATTTATCTTACTGCATAGCTGACGTGCTTTCTGATTTATTTGTATAGCTACTGACTGACAGAGTGGCGTAAATCCTTTCCGACTGACATTATACTGGGTCCGATATGTACGACAAAAGGCCTCGTCCAGATCGGATGAAGAGGGACCACTGCGTGCACATTCTTTTGACCGGCTGCAACATACGAAGATATATGGCTGTAGGCAGAGTATCAAATCGTAGTGATGGTTAGACTTGAATTGAATAATAGTTCATGTACATTAGATGGAGTACATTCGCTGCCTACTTATCAGCTCGGCGTGCTATTTGATGTGTCCGTGCATATATCGCGAGGTCGTTAATGGGTGTATTTGCCACGCGCTCGTGATACCCAACCTATGCGTGGGGTCCCTGTTTTCTTATCGGGACGTTTGCATCATCGTGCTAGCTTTCTGTGCTTACGCTATTGATATTTTAGTCTGTATAATCAAGCGCGTCAGA